TTTGTCTGATCACTGTTTGACGTATGATCCGGTGCACTTTCAGTTGTCACAGTAACGGTTATTGGATTTAAGTCCATACCACTGATTTTTCTTCTATAACGTTGATAATAAAGGAAAAAGAGAAGCAAAAGACCCAGTCCAAAAAAGACAGAACCAACGACTATACCAATAAGTGCTGGCATACTAAGAACACCTGGACCTGCATCACCTGTGGTTGTTTTACTTGTGTTTGTTGAATCATCTTCCAGCAAAATGTTGGACATTTCTTTTAAAAAAAATTATTGTTATTTATACATTTAAAACAAGTTATTGTTATTTATACATTTAAGAAAAGTTATTGTTATTTATACATTTAAAAAAATTATTGTTATTTATACAAACTACAAGAAAAAAAACAATACAATACAGTACAATAATCACTTACTTGGAGAATATGATGTAACCCATTTGTAAGCCATTGTATCAAACAAATAAATAACGTGATTTTCATTATTCACAGCAGTGGTATTTTTCCCTATAAATAATAAAAAAGTTAGATATTAGCTCTCTTCATAAAGTTTTTATAATTTATTAATAATTAAATAATATTAATTTAATTTTATTCAAGATTCTATAAAACTTGTACGTATAATCCATTTAATTATTGTTATGGATCAATTGAGTATAGATCAAAGCAAAACAAATTTCTTAGGCTATTCAAAATTAATTACAAGATTAAATCCACAATAATGATAGATTTCAAATAACTTTGAACGAAATTTTTTTCTTTTTAAAAAATCTGTCGATACGAAATTGAGCCAATGTAACTTAATATAAAAAACGTTCATTTATTTCGAAAGAATCTAAGCATAAAGATATAATTACAGAAAATGAAATTTTATTTACCAAATGATATAATCATATAGTAATTCATCATTACTGCAGTATGAGCTGCAAGAGGTGGTGCGGCATTATCCGGTGGAATATTTGGTATTATCCATTTAAATGAGGTTGTCGTAATATCAAGCATTGCAAGATCCGGTGAAACTCTAGGATCTGAGGGACTATCACTCATTCCACCATAAATAATGATCCTATTGTGATGATCTATAGAGAATGAATTGCTTAAATATATTTTAATTCTAATGCAGATAACTACATGCATATATAATGTACAGTTACCAAGTACAGCAGTATGAAAGATACGAGAATCAATGTTAACACCAGTGGCAATCTAAGTAATTATAGTGTTCTGTTAACAAATATTGATACGAGTTGAAACCACAAAGAAAAGCTTAAATTAAATTAAAAAATATACAATTATATATTTTGTTAAGTACTGAATATATTTTTAAAAAAA